TCGTGTCGTAAGGCAGGCAGCAGGGCTGTCGAGCAGCTCCGCCCTGGTGGTGGCCAGTGCACTGGCAACCCTCTCCCTCCACCCCTCCCCTCCCTCCCTCACCTGCACGCACATCGCCGAGCTGTGCACACACACGGAGCGGCGCGTGGGCACTGCTGGGGGCGGCATGGACCAGTCGGCAATCATGTGTTGCCGCCGGGGGGCGGCACTGCACGTGCAGTTCTCGCCTCTGCGGGTGAGTGTGGTGCCTTTGCCAACGTCTCGTGTGGTGTTTGTGGTGGCGCATTCGCTGGTGGAGTCGCCCAAAGCCGTCCAGGCGGCCACGCACTACAACAAGCGTGTGTTCGAGTGCTCCTTGGCGCTGGCAATACTTGACGAGTGAGCGAGGAAAGCGGTTGGATTGCCGATATGTTGTGTGTGTGTATGTGTGTGTGTGTGTGTGTGTGTGTTTGGTTCCTGCAGGGCGGTTGGAGGTTTTCTCGGGGCTGACGATGTGGTGCGGTCGACCCTTGCGGACTTCCAGAGGTCCCGCCAGCTGTGCCACGACGTGAGCAGCATTCATTCATTCACTCAGTCAGTCAGTGGCTCTCTCTCTCTCAGAGTCTGTCTGTGTGTCTGGGGAATTATTAACTGGTGTGTCCTGCCCGTCTGCCTGTGTGTCGTGTCAGGGGTGCAGGTCGCTGGTGCGGCAACACATCCGCGAGGAGGCCTACACCAAGGTAGCTAGGCAGGTACCTCCACGGGAGCTGCCTTGGCTGCCTATAGGCACGTCCATCTCCGCGTCCACCCGGCCTGGTGCGTTGCGTCGTGTATGTGTGTGTCCCCACATCCAACGCAGGGTGAGGTGTCGTCGGTGCTTGGCCAGGAGAGGCTGGACGCCCTCCTGCGGCGGGTGGGCCGGGACGTCTGGACGCTCAACCACACATTCCAGCCGCACAAGTAAGCAGCCAACCGTCCGTCCGTCCGTCCTTACTGTGTGTGTGTGAGAGCGGCGCGTGTCATTCGTGTCTGTCTGTCTGTCTGTCTGCTGTGTGTGTGTGTCTGTGTGTGTGACGCAGGCGGGCGCTGCATGTCTTCGGCGAGGCAGCCCGCGTGGCCGAGTTCCTGCAGCTGGCAGAGGGGCCACAGAGGGACACCGATGCCACAATAGTGGTGGGTGGGTAGTTCTAACTGATGGCCGGATGAAATGGGTCATGGGCAGTGTGTGTGTGTGGTGCCTCTTTCACTTGAGCAGCGTCTGGGCGAGTTGATGAATGCTTCCGACGAGAGCATGCGGGACCTCTATGAGTGCGGCTGCCCGGAACTGACGGCTCTGACATCGATTTGCCGCAAGGTCGCCATCGGCAGCAGAGTCACCGGAGCAGGTAGGTGATCCAGGCAATCAATTCCTGGCTTCACTTGTGAATGTGTGTGTGTGTGTGTGTGTGACAGGTTGGGGCGGCTGCACTGTGTCGATGGTGTGGAGCGGTGACGCGCAGCGGTTTATCGAGACGGTCAAGGAGGGCTACTATGAGCCTTTGATGAGGGAGAGGGCCACAGCGTCTGTCGGTGATGACTTGGGAAGGTATGTGTTTGTGGTCGACCCGGCGGAGGGGGCGCAGCTCCACATGAGGGAGAGGGGGGACCATGCCGGAGGGGAGGGGGGGTGGACGCCTGTGGAGCTGCGGGATTGATTGATTTAAGAGTGAGTGGGTGGGTGGTGTGTGCGCACACTTGAACAACGTCAGTCAGAATGCATAAAGCACCCATCGTCCTGTCCGCCCATCCTTCCATTCATCGGCACACACATCATGATGCTGCCGACTCCCCCCCCACCCCCGTCAGCCCTACTAGGCATCATAGCGACACATAGACACCAACACCGACACGCACACACACACACCCCGACATGTATGGTGTGTATGTCTGTAAGCAGCCTTAAAGCCTCTCCTGCCCAAATCGTGGATGGACCCATGTGCGCCGCGCTCTGTCGCTCTCTTGGATCTTTGCACACCCACCCACCCACACACACGTGCAGACGCCTCCTCTGGCCGCCTAACACTCGCCACTCGCTGACAAATAGGGTACACCTTACGTTACCTTACGCAACGCCCTCCCTCAGTCGCTCAATTATGTAGGTGTGTGTATATTTGATCGCAAAACCGCGGCAGGCAGCTACTACGGTGGCCCCTTACTGGGTGTGAGGTGGGTGAGGTGAGGGTCACATCGATCACACGATGGGGTCGTGCAGCGACATGTGGTACATGGTCCGTCGGTGCAGCGATATCATGCGCATCTCGCGCTCCTCGGGCGACTCGCCGTCATAGCGCTGGTCGGCATCCACCTCAGCCTGACAGACAGATAGATAGATAGATGGAACATCACACACAGCCACAGCCACAGCCACAGCCACTCGTGTGCATGTGTTGACGTGTGTCGAGTATCTATCTCGTTGTGGACTGACCTCCATGAACCCCTCGGCGTCGGCGTCGGCGGCGGATTCTTCGAAGAAGTCATCTCCCTCCTCGCCCTCCGTCTCTCCTTCTCCCTCTAACTCGCCCTCGCCCTCTCCCTCCGCCCCAGGCCCACCAATGCTCCCATCGTCCCCTACAGTTAATGACCTGCTCTCCTCGCCAGCAGCAGCTGCTGCAGTGTGGGAGAGCTCATCTGCAGGCGCCACGCGTCGCTGTGACGTGTCGGGGCTGCCGGAGATGTCGCTAGGTTTGTTCGAGACCGAGCTGCGATGGCTGCCTGCAACCGAGGGCGGTGGCGAGCCGGCCACGCGAGGGCCCGCGGTGGCCCACAGCTGCTCCCTCACCACGTCCCACTCGGCCTCCTTCTCGTCTCGCTCTCGCCTTTGTTGTGCTGTTGCCGTCGCAGCCGGCACAGGCACAGGCACAGGCACAGGCACAGCCACGTCCCCACTCCCCTCCCCGCCGTCCTCCGGCTCGTCGACGTCAGGTTTGGCGGACACGGTCTTGCGTGAGCTCTTGCCCTGGCTAGAAGACTCGTCGACCTCTGTGATGCGTCGGAGGGTGGGGGAGAAGAGTCGGGAGCGGCCGGCGAAGGCGGAGGGGGGGCCGGCCATGCGGGCCGAGAAGCGCTGCCGCTTCTTCTGCAGGGACCGGTTGCGCTTCCTCTTGGAGGACGTCTTGAGGTCGAGAGCACGCTCCAGCAGGTGGGTGGCATAGATGGACAGCAGCATCGTCAAGACGCAGAAACTGCACAGCAGAGCACAGCACACAGACAAGGAGAGAGGGAGGGAGGGACAGATGGCCATCACAAATGTGTGTGTGTGTTTATGCGTGTGTGTTTATGGCGGCTGGGTGGGTGGGGTGTATGTATGGTATGGTCTGTCTGCGTACTTACGCGAGCATGGCTTGCCACCTCGGCCCGAGGTAGCCCTTGACGACGAAGGTGAGGACCATACACAGGTTGTCCATCACACCTACCAGCAGCATCGCCGTCCCCTTCAACTTGCGGCCTATGAAAATGACACACACAACACAACACAACACAACACAAGACAACACACACTCCACAGTGGACCGCACAGCCCATCCACGTACCTCCAGCTTCTATGGCGAATTGGTCGGTGGTCATCCGTGCGGGCCCCAGGATGGTCAGCCCCAGGGCCGCCAGCGCCACCACAATGTACCAGTAGCTCATGTTCTTCCAAAAGATGACCATCAGCGTCAGCACCACCGCACACGCCGTCTGGAAACCCATCAGCAGAAAGGCCCGGCCGGTCCGCGGCAGCCGGCTCGCCAGCTGCACAAACGCCACCACCGACACGACGCCCATCAACGGGTACACTGCCGACGCGCGGGAAAGCAGCGCGTTGGTTCCGGGGTCCGCCACGCAGTCGGCGAACGACTCGTGGCCGCCGTGCTTCTTGTGGTGGTAGAAGACGTCATAGCAGTGGGAGTGGGCGAGGAGGGAGACCGAGTAGCTGGTGAAAAGGTTTGCGATGCCGGTGAGGCAGCCGGACGTGAGGCAGAGCGCCCAGAGGCCCTTGCGCTTGGCCATGGCTTTGAGGCGGTCGACGAGGGGCTGTTTCTCCTCCATGATGCGCGAGAGCTGGAAGGAGGTCTCATGGTCCTCCTGCGGGGCGCTCTTGACGAACAGCACCACTGGCAGCGCCACCACACCGGCCGTCGCTGCACAACTGGCACACAGACAGGCAGACAGAGAGGCGGACCAGGTCTGGTGTGGCTGTGTTGTGTGTTGTGCGTGTGTGCGTGTGTCGTGGTACGCGTAGAAGATATGCTTCCATGTGTAGTAGGGCATGAAGAAGCCGAGGACCAGCCGAACGAGCGCGTCACCCACATGCGGCGTCAGGCTCACATAGCTGTGACACACACACACACACAGACACACACACATATCCACCATCTGCCACCCCACCATTGCACTCTCTGCCTGCCTCCCCTGACCTCATAAAGATCATCAGGTACTCCATGGGCAGCCAGTTGCCACACATGCCCACCACAGCCGGCCAGGCCCACCCTTGCGCAAACACGCCATTCACCGACCAGAGTGCCAGTCGCCACGGCCAGCTGTCGATGTATGCGAAGCCAACGGTGCACATGGTGTACCCCACTGCGGCGATGAAGAGCGTCACGCGGCTGCCGAGGGCGTCGATGGCCATCGTGGCCGCCAGACGACCGACAGTCGCTGCGATGGAGAAGCCGATGAACAGCACTGCCAGCCTGACCAATCAATCGCCAGATGAGCAGTTGATCACACAGAGAAAAAGATGGAATGAAGTTACTGTCGTCGTTGTGTGTGCGCACGCACTGTTGGTGTGTGATGGGCGCCTCCCTCTCTACGATGACCTCCATAGCAAACAGATTCGACACACACAGACCTGCATCACACACGCAACACACACAGCACACACAAGCCAACAACAGTGACTGACACACGAGAATGCACCACGATGAATGGAATGTGCTTGTGTGTGAGCTGCGAACATTTCCCGAGGTATGCGATGCAGCAGAGCAGGAGCACGCCCAGCACCATCAAGGGCCGTTCATCGAAGACCAGGCTCCGTAGGCTCCGCCGTCGGACGGGCGGCAGCAGAGCACGGTGATCAACCGGCGCAAGACGCTCACTAAGCATGGAGATGGGGTTGTGTGTAGGCGATCTGCAAGCTCGCTCGGTAAATGCATTCTGGGAGGGCTTTCCACGAGGTGTTTCGCGTAGATATGGAGCCATAGGATGATGTTTCCGAGGGACAGACGGTTCAAGGAACCAGGTAATAGATAGCACACACACGGCACACCGACTGCCTCTCTGTGTGGTGATCTATCCATCCATCCATCCATCGGCGTGTTGTGTGTGTTGCTGCGTAGATGGCTTGACGCCCGGGCCTGGCGAGTACAAAGTCCCCGACGGCCGGGAGATTCGCGCACCCACCTTTGAACTCAGCCCCAGATTCGGCTCACCCAGAACCGGTAGGTAGTGCCCCGCACAATACACAGACGTAAGCAGTACCAGCTGATTTGGCCTCTTCTTGTGTTGTGCAGAAGGCGCGGGATCGCCAGTCGGTGGAGTGCCGGTGGACATGGCGTCTGTGGCGTCATCGAATCGCAGCTCCCGGTCCTTCTCGTCGCGCCGGGGTGGGGTGACACCCAGACACGGAGAGTCCGTCGTGCAGGTATGTTGCAGCGGTGGGCGAGTGGACGGGCGGGATGTATGTGTGTGTGTGTGGCGTCGGTGGCACCCTTCAGCTGCACCATGAGGTCACCAATCTCAAGCGGCGCATCAACGAGGTATACGTGCAGAGCCTAACCATAGCCAGATAGACATGGGAGCGTCTCTGGATGAGTGTTGTGTGTAATGTCTGTGTGTGCAGTTGCAGCGTGAGCTGGACGAGATGGTCAAGGAGAAGAAGCGGGCGGAGGAACTCGCGGCGGTACACACACAGGGACACAGGGACACCTATACAGACAGGCAGACACACACATGCGTGCGTGTGTGTGTGTGTGTGTATGTTCAGGGTGAGATCGCGGCGGCACAGGAGAAAGCGGATTCGGTAAAGGCAAGTGTGTGTGGTCGTGCCACGTGCCATCCTACCCATCCCTCTCTCTGTGTGTATGTGTGTGTGTTACTATAGCTGACGGAGGATTGTTCGCGTCAGTTGGCCGAGGTAGCTCGTCTCAACGACATCATCCGCCTCAAGAACAGCGACATCGCAGCGCTCATGGAGGCACTCAACGCAGAAAAGGTACACAGACACACAGACACAAAGACACACACACACACACACAAACGCACAGAGAGAGGTGTGTGTGTATGTGCTGGTTTGGGTGCGCAGGCCAAGGACGAGAAGCGAGCCAAGGAGATGATCGACACATTCAACAGGAAGATGCAGCAGGTAAACGCGTCCCATCACACCACATCAAACATACACATGACATGATTGGTTGGGGTGTTTCGGTTTCTCTTGCAGAAGGGCGCTGAGATCGCTGGTCTGCGTTCGGAGTTGGCGGACAAGGTGGCGGCCCTGGAGCGAATGGAGAAGCTGCTCAAACAAACACAGGCACAGGTATGTGTGACACCGCACCTCTCTGGATGGATGTGTGTGTGTGTGTGTGTGTGCAGATCGACGCGTTGCATGACGAGTTGGAGTACAAGGTGGACGTGACGTCTGGGCTGCTGCACGAGATCAGCGACAACAACCGCCGCAGAAGGGAGCTCGAGCAGCAAATACACACGTGCGGGCGGCACACAGACAAAGAACCGACGGCTTTGTGGTGGCCATGGCCGCTTTCATGTGTGTGTGTGTGTGTGTGGTGCAGGCAGAGCGAGTCGCTGCGCGAGTTGCGAGAGCAGCAGAAACTCATGCAGGAGGAGCTACACCAACTCGCCGTATGCATATATCGCCCCCACACTGAATGACGTTCAAGTACCACCGCTTTCTCGATGCACAGGCTGCCAAGGCCAAGTGGGATGCCGACATAGACGCGCAGGACACACTCATCAAAGACAAGGCAAGCGCCCCTCCAAGCAAACACACACACACACACAACACACACACACACACACACACACACAGTGTCGCCCATGCCACCACGTCCCTCTTTTTTGCGTGCGTCTTGTCCACCCCCGAAAAGAGCTCGCAGATCGCCCGTCTCGAGGGGGCACTCTACCACAAACAAGACGCCATAGACAAACTCGTCAGCCACAGCCACCCGTTCCACCCCTGAGACCCTGCAACCATCCTCCCTCCCTCCCTCCCTCCCTCTTGTTTGTTTTTCCTTCAGGCGAGTGAGAAGTCTTCCGTTGAGTGCGAGTTGCAGCAGCAGCTGGCGCACCTGAAGGAGAGCCTCGACACCCAGCTGCAGGCACTCGCCGACGAGCAGGCGCTCACTGCCAATCTGAGACACGATATCACCGACCTCACACACGAACGGGACGCCTGCAATGACAGAATCGCAGCAATCACCATGTACGTGCTAAGGCAGAGGGAGAGAGAGAGAGAGAGAGGGAGAAGTAGTGGCGCGTTCGGGGGCTGTATATTGTGTGGTCTATGTGGTCGCAGTGAGCTGAGTGAGGCGGGGAGGGAGCTGGAGTCGAGCAAGGAGTCGGCTGAGGAACTGGTACACCCACCCACACAAATCTCCTCCCAATGACTGACTGTACAGCGGTGTGTGTGTGTGTGTTCTGTGTTGTTCTGCCTTCCATCCATCAGGTGGCTCGTGTGGCCTCGCTAGAGAGCGATCTGCAGCAGCAATGCGCACTGGCGGAGTCCCTGCAAACGTGAGATGATTGGACGGACGGACGGACGCACACACATATCATCACCCACACATTGATGTCTCTGTCCATCCATCCGTCCGTCCGTCGGTCCGTCCACAGGCAGCTGCGTGACGCTGAGGAGGCCAGGCTGCGTCACGAGGCCGACGTGCAGCAGCTGACGGCGGCTCGCCAGCACCAAGTAAACACGCAACTCACGCGATTCACTCAGATAGCTGCCGACCTGCTTGCGGCAATCGACGACACCACACTCACCACATGCACACACACGTGTATGTCGTTGGGCCGACACACACTTGACGTGTCCGTCTTTGTCTGTCTGTGTGTCTGTGCGGGTCTCTGTCAGGATGAGCAGTTGCGGGCCGCGTTGGCTGAGGTGGAGAGCCGGGCTGCCGAAAGGGATACGCTGCGGAGAGAAGTTGCCAGGCATGCAGGGCAGGCCGCCGACCATCCCCACCGAAATGAATGCCACTGTCTCTCTCTCTCTATGTGTGTGTGTGTTTTCACCCCTCTGGCTGCGTGCAGCGAGAGGGATGCGTATCTATCGGAGGTGGCTGCCCTAAAGGAGAACATAGCAGAGGTCCAGAGTGAGCGCGATGCCCTCACCAAGCAGTGCCAGGCCCTGCAGGAAGTCCGGGTCAGTCAATAGGACACCCACCGTTTCCTTACTCTTTCTCTGCACATAATGTGTGTATGTGTGTGTGTTGTGTGTGTGTAGGATGAGCAGGAGGGCGAGTTGGGGAGACTGCAGAGCGAGAAGAACCTACTGGTAGGTCATTCATGCGCTCAGACGTGACACACACACACACACACACGTGTCTCTCCCTCCCCCTTATCCACTCATCGTCCAACCAGGTCGACCAGCACACTGACCTGCAGCACACATGTAGCCGCCACGAGGCCGACATCGAAGGACTCAGAAAGTGAGACCACACGTCAGAGCAAGGGTTCTATATATGAAAATGACACCCTGGCTGGGTACAGTGAGAGGGATGGGTATCTGTCGGAGATAGCTGGGCTGCGTGAGAGCCTCTCGACTGTGGAAGGCCAGCGCGATGACCTCAACAGAGCGTGCCAGCTGCTGCAGGAAGTCCGGGTGGGTCAGTGGAATGGGGATGCACAGGAAAGCTCTCAGACGGCCTATGTGTGTGTGTGTGTGTGTGTGTGTGTGCAGGATGAGCAGGAGGGTGAGATTCGGAGGCTCCAGAACGAGAAGAATCTACTGGTACCTTTTCGCCCATAGATCCGTCCCTCTCTCCCTCCCTCCCTGGCATTCATTGACTCTTTATCCATCCAACCAGGCCGAGCAGCAGATCGACATGCAGCACACATGTGGACGTCAAGAGGCCGACATCGAGGCGCTCAAAAGGTGAGCACAAGAGCACCCCACCCCATTCACCCCACCCACCCCTGTGTGTATGGGTTTGTGTGCAGCGAGTTGGCGGAGACGCGAACGGCCAAGCAGGAGATGCACACGGAGCTCACCGCAGCCAAGGAGGACCTGCAGAGCGAGAGGAGCGCACTGGCGGTGCTGCACCGGGCCCACGACGACCTCAAGGCGCAGAAGGAGACACTCGAGGACACACTCAGATCCACACAGAAGTATGACGGACACATAGTGACCGAGACTTTGCAACTCTCTGCGTTGTGTGTGTGCTGCGTGCAGGAGTCTCGACGACAGTCAAGCCGAGTGTGTCATCCTGGTGGGTGTGCCTTCACGTAGCACATATGTACCCCTACAGGGACAGACAGACACTGGCGTCTGTGTCGCCCTCCCCCTCTCCCTCCCTCCCTCTCTCCCTGTCTCTCTCTCTCTCCCTCTTTCAGGCGCAGCAGAAGATACAACACGAGCGGTGCGCGCGCAGACATAGACGCAAAGAAGGCAGCGAGCTGCATCTGTGTGTTTGTGTGTGTGTCTATGTGGACGTAGTGAGAGGGATGGATACCAGTCGGAGATGGGAGGGCTGCGCGAAAACCTCCACAAGATGCAGACGGCACGCGAAGAACTCTCCAGGTCTGCAGACCAGCCACAGACACACACGAGAGGTCAGAATGAATCATCGACGTGTACGTGCCTTCGACTGCAGGAGCCTCGAAGCGAGCCAAGCCGACTACGACAACCTGGTACTCCGGGATTACACTGACACACACACACACATGGATGGATGGATGGATGTAGCTATGCACATTTGGCTGTGTTGCTGCCAATGTGTTCTCCCGTTTTTGCAGGCCGAGCGGCTGCAGCAGCTCACGGCACAATTCGACAGGTATGTGGACAGAGGATCCAGAAGAGGGCGCCCGGCCTTTGTGCACTGCCTGTGTGTGTGTGTGTACAGTGAGAAGGAGGGGTATCTGTCGGAGATTGCGAGCCTGCGCGACAGCCTGTCGCAGATGCAGAGTACAAGAGAAGAGCTCTTCAGGTATGTAATTTGTATGCAGACCACGAAGCCACAGAGAGACAGACTACGTGTATGTGCCATTGTCGGCTGCAGGAGCCTCGAGGCAAGTCAATCCGACCATGGCAACTTGGTATGCACAAACATGAGTGGATGGATGGATGGACCCATCACACCAGCGCCATGCACATCTGTTCTCCCCTTTTGTTTTGCAGGCTCAGCAGCTGCAGCAGCTCAAGACACAATACGACAGGTTCCATGCCGATCGACACACGGCCACCACAAAGCAGAGCAGCTTCTGTGCACTCCCTACCTCTGTGTGTGTAGTGAGAGGGATGCGTACGAGTCGGAGATTGGAGGTCTGCGCGAGAGCCTCTCCGACACACAAGCAGCACACGAAGAACTCGCAAGGTGGTCGTCTGTGTAGACCAGCAGCAGACACACAGACTGCGTGTACGTGCCATCGTTGAATGCAGGAGCCTCGAGGCCAGCCAGGCTGAGCATGCCGACCTGGTATGTCTGCAGATAGGCACTGAATCGACACACAAAAAGAGAGATAGATGTGTGTTGTGTTGTGTTGTGTTGTGTTGCCCGTCTGTCTCCCTCGTTCAGGCCCGACAGATGGAGCAGCTCAAGACACAGCACGAGAGGTACGCAGCGCATGGATTGGCTACACAGGCAGACAGACAGAGACGCGTACACACACATATCGTAGGCCCTTTTGTGTGTCACCACCTGCAGTGAGAGGGATGGGTATCTGTCGGAGTTGGCTGGGCTGCGCGAGAGCCTCTCGACTGTGGAGAGCCAGCGCGATAACCTCACCAGAGAGTGCCAGCTGCTGCAGGAAGTCCGGGTGAGTCAGTGGAATGGGGACACACAGGAAAGCTCTCAGACGGCCTGTGTGTGTGTGTGTGTGTGTGCAGGATGAGCAGGAGGGTGAGATTCGGAGGCTCCAGAACGAGAAGAACCTACTGGTATGCACATGGCAATGCACAAGCACGTGTCCACGTGCGTGTACACACCACCAGGCCGAGCAGCAGATCGACCTGCAGCATGCCCGGGACCGACAGGAAATCGACATGGAGGCACTCAAGAAGTAAGGAATCATCCTGTTCCAGCATCTCTCTCTCTCTCTATGTATGTGTGTGTGTATGCCATCGATTCTCCCCTCCCTGGCGTCGATCAGCGAGCTGAGTCACGTGTCGTCGACATTGTCGGACACCCGAGCGGCCAAGCAGGAGATCACTGCAGTGCTGGCAGAGGTGGAGTGGGAGCTGAGGACAGCCAAGGAGGACCTGCAGAGCGAGAGGAGCGCACTGGCGGTGCTGCACCGGGCCCACGACGACCTCAAGGCGCAGACGGAGACACTCGAGGACACACTCAGATCCACACAGAGGTAGGAGTGTCATATGTGAGACTTGGCCAACGGATGGCTGGAGCTTTGGATGGATGGATGTGTCTTTGCTGCAGTGAGTTGGAGTCGGTGCGTGCGGCGAGGGGTGCGGCCGAGGCCGACGCTGTCGCCACCAGGGCCAAACTGCACGGTCGGTCGGGGAGCCTTTGTGTGTGGAATCGCCTCCTCACTCCACTCTGTGAGTATGTGGCTGTCGCTGTGTGCCCCCATGCAGAGGCGCGCGATCGCGAGTGCGAGGCACAGAGTGAGATCAAGAAACTCATCAACAAAATCGCAGAGCAGGAAGCCGTAAACACCACACAAGCCACGACAAGCCATGAAAAGCACGCCCTGAGCCCACCTGCACTGCACTGCATGGGTGTGTGTGCGCCCCCGTGTGTCTTCACATAATACAGGAGCTCGACAAGGTGCAGCAGCTATCGCATGCTGTCAAGGTGAGCAAGGGACGCACACCCATCCCTTCCACCCCACCGACCTGTGTGGACATATACAATACATGTGTGTGTCGGTGTGTGTGTATCATGTGTGCAGGAGGAGCGTGAGCGTCGCCGCCGTCGGTCTCTCGAAGTGGCCAGCCTCAGGATAGAACTAGACACAAAAGAGTATGGACGGACAGACACAAGCCGCACACACACAGAGGCTTCGATGCGCGTGTGTGTGTGTGTGTGTAGGGGTGTGGAGGAGCGTGAGCGCGAGAAGGACATGATGATAGAGGACCTGAGGGAGAAGGTCCGCATCAAGGAGGAACAGCTCAACCTCACCAAACAGGCAGAGGAAGACAAAAACAAACTATACCAGGAACTCATGGCGGTAGTCAAAGACCCTCCACACACATACACACACACACACACATGAATGTGTGTGTGTGGACATATACAGGATTTGGACAACGAGTGTGAGGAGGTGGATGAGCTGGGCAACCTGCTGTCGGAGAAGGTCGACGAGACGCAAGACCTGCAGCTGCAAATCGTAAACAAAGAGGTGAGTAGCGCACTGTGAACCCCACCGGACTGCACCACTGTGCCGTGCTGTGATGGTGTTATGTGGCTGTGCGTCTGCTAGAATGAGTTGCATTTGGAGAGGGAGAGGGCCGACGGCCTGGCGGACCGCCTCAGCAAGACAGAGGAGGCGCTCAGGGCACTCGAGGCCGAGCTCAAGGTACACACACAATACACACACACACACCGCTGCATTCATTGGAGGTATTGGATGGGTGGATGGGTCCAGCAAACGATCAGCGAGAAGGACGCCAACCTGCAGTCGGTCGTCATCAACGCCGAAAAGGCCCTACAGGTCGGTGGGTGGCAGGGTGGATGCGATGAATGAACAGCTGGAGGGGAGAGCGGGGGCAGCCAGCTCAGCTTGTCTGTGGTGTGTGTCGTGGGGTCAGGACAAGGAGGCCGAGATGGACAGACGCCTCGACGACGCACGCGTCGCCATGGACAGAAAAGACGTAAGGAGCCAGGAGACACACACAGGCACATTGGCGCATTGGTTGGTGTGGCTGTGTGTGTGTGTGTGTGCAGCGTACGATCGTAGAGTACGAGCGGCGTTTGGCGCGCTTCACACAGCAGCGCACCGACCAGCAGGAACTCATGGACGAAATAGAGGTCAACAAACCACCCGCCCCCCCTCCCCACACACACACGAGCCATCCGTGTACTCTGCTTTCCGTCCGGCGTTGCTGTCACATATGTGCAGAAGCTTCGTCAGCAGAGCCTGTCGCTGGTGAAGCAGACACAGATCTTCTCGGTCCAGCTGGGGCACGCCAAAGCCGACAGAGACCGGTGCGCGGACCCCCCCCCCCACACAAAGCAGCCAAACCCACACGTGTGTGTGTGTGTGTGTGTGTGTGTAGTGCGAGCGCCCGTCTGCAGCAGGCCCTGGAGCGTGTTCACGAGATGGAGGCCGCCAACGCCAGGCTGTCAGGCCACTCTAATACGGCACAGAGGATACAGTACCTACACAGACTCAAAGACGAGGTCGGCACGTGCCCTGCCCACGTCTCTCGCTCGTTGCCCGTTTCACGCTCTGCATGGCTGGCTGATGTGTTTGTTGACTGTGTGTGCACACCAGATGCGGGCGATGCAAGAGGCCAACTATGCGCTGCAGGATCGGTGCGCCATGCTCGAGAACGATCTGCAGGAGTTCAGGGTGCTCGCTGACCTGCGGGCGGCCATCACGCAGTCCGACGACCATGACCAGCCACTCGACCATGACAACAGGTAGATTGCAGCCATCCATCCATCCATCGCTTGCTTGCGCCTCTGCCTGCAATCTGTGTGTGTGCAGTTACCTGCCCTCTCTGCCCCCCCTCACGCCCGCCCAGCTGACCTCCCTCACCGGCCGCACTCCCAAGCCACCCGGCCCACACAGCTCCCGGCTCGTCCCCACACACTCACACAAACAGGCCGACGGCAAGTCGCGGCCCAAGACGCCCACAGGCAGGCCAACCAAGATGGCCATGGCCGGCCGTGAGCACGGCCCACGGTCGCCCGGGGCGCAGGTGGTGGAGAAAGGCAATGGTGGGGTGAGGGTTAGTGAGGAGAATGAGCGTGAGGAGCAGCTGCTGCAGCAGCTGGCGCGCATGCGCCGCCTGGCGGAACGGAGGACCAACGAACTCATCAGGTGGGAGAGAAGTGGGTGGGGATATTGACGTACGTGTATGTGTCTCTCTCTCGGTGTCTGTCGGTGTGCCCAGCTTGATGGCTCTGGTGCCCCACCTCCCTCGCGCATCGCTCAGCTCCAACGTCCATCGGGGCTCAGACGAGGAGTCCATCCGCAGACCATACGACCTGACGAGTAAGCACGAGATGTGGTGAGAGCCCACATTGATATATATGGGTTGTACGTGTGTTTGTTGCCCCAAACCGTCCATCCATCAGACTCTCCAGGGGCTGCCCACAGCGGCCACGGGAAACGCAAGAGTCTGTCGGTGGAGGTGGATGCCATGCGCGACAACCTCCTGGCCATCATGCAGCAGCAGGACCAAAGCGACACAGGCGCCTACACCCACCAGCAGCAGCAGCAGCAGCCCCAGGAGCCTGCAGATGATGGCGAGGAGGCGGACACCGCAGTAGCGGCAGCCCCTGCTGCCTCAGGGGACTCGCCGGTGGCGCCGAGGCCGGTGGGGTCGATGCGTAGCGACTCATCCACCCACTGAGAGGAGCAAGTCTGGCCGTAGTATAGCTGCCCGCCCGTATGCGTATGCGCGTGTGTGTGGTACGTGTGTGTGGGCAATGCAGTCACGACTGCATGACTGCATGCAGGAGTATGGAAATACTGCATGTATGGAAATACTGCATGCCAATATTGAATGGGGTGGGTTGGGTAGGATGATGGGAAGATCGATTGACCGATGTGGTTGCTTAGTCGATTCATTCAAAGTGACGCCAGCCAGTCAGATCGATGCCACTCACTCATGGACCTCTACATGTCATTTGTCTCAAGGTGGATCGATTCGCTATTCACCTAATCTGTCCATCTGTGTCCGCTCACATCATGTCCCTCTCGCTCACACCTCTGCAGTCGAGTTCACTCCACCCACTCACCACGGTTGTCTGTCTCTCTGTCTGCTTGCACGTGTCTGCCTCTGTGTGTGTGTCTGTCTAGCCGTGTCTCGACTTCTTGATTTGTTGGTCGGTGCTGGTGGACTGCCTCGAGGGCGAGAGTGTCCGCTTCCCTGTCGATGCTGCCTCGGACAGCACATCGAGACAGAAAGACGAGCAACGCTGTCGGGCAATCGACCTGAACATTCACATACATCCGCATGCGCACTGAGAGAGACACAGACATGCGTGTGCACTATAGATAACAAACCTGGTATGGTGCGATCTGAAGTGGACTGTGAGGACGATTTCGACCTCAGAGTCACCGTCGGACTGCTCTGGCTCCGGCAGCTCACAGATGAAGCTATCGCGCTGGATCTGATCGGAAGAGACACACACATGAAGTCACACAAATGGATGGATGTGTTCTGTCTGCTTGTCTTGCCTTCTTGTCCTCGGCCATTCTGGCAGCGTACGTCACGGACTTGAAGGAGCGAACGCCGTCGTCCTTCCGCTGGCTGCCGTCGGCTGGGTGGAGCAGGCAAGGCAGACTCTTCACAAACCGGCGAACTGAACACCAGACTGTGCACCTGTGGATTGTGAGTGGATCGTGAGTGTGTATGTGCGTCGGGGCACCGTGGCCGCTCCATGGGTCTGACACACACAGGAGATATCATTACTTACACAGCTGCTGAGAAGAAAATGCACAATCCAATGCCGCGCAAGCATTGTGCACCTTTGAACTTGTAGGTGAGCATTCTAGACGCACAACACAGAGACACACACACACAGAGACACCATCGTGTGTCTCCGGTGTTTTGTGGTCAGCATCACTCACTCACTCACTCACTCAGTCACTCACATGAGTTCGATGTGTCTCTTGCCCGTGTTGGTGATCTGCACATACAGCAGGGTATTGAAGCTGAGCGTCGCCTCGTCAAAGTGCCGCTTGCTCGACAGGGAGCACTTCAGGCCGCTGTCCTCATGCTCTGCCCGGCCGCCCTGGGACACCACGCGCAGCTGGCAATTCGGACTGTCGACGTCGCCACCGTCCGGCTGGCCGTCGCCGCTCTGGCTGGCCATCGATATCACGAGACACTCACCGATGGACTCGTTGAAATGAGAGACGTTCACAGTGTGTATACGTATGTATGTCTTACTCACTATGCATGTCTGTATAGTAAAGCATATGACTTGATCGATGAGTGTCCAACTGCCCGCCCGAAATCACACACACACAGCTACGGCTGTCCTCCCAGCAATCCGACCAGCACAGCAAGGGAGGACACCACAAAGCCGCCACCAAGAGCAACAGCATCAGACTGCAAAGACACCGGTGGACAGATATGAGAGTACGAGGCAAAGTGATAATATATGTGTGTCTCTCTCACCTTGTCGTCGATCACAGGACCATCCGCTCGTCCAGTCGTCAGCATAAGCACCTCTGTGAAATCAATCCCCTCCTCCGCCTCCCCGTTGGACAGCCGTCTCAATCGGTCAGCATTTGGCGGCGCTGACCAATCCTGTCGGCACGTGTCACCGTCCTCTGCTGTGTCTTTGAGGTTGCTGCACTTGGCGGCGGTGCACACGGTGACGACACACGTTACATAGAGAATGTCCGATTCCACATACCGATGGGAGCCGACTTCAAGGATGCCGCACTGGGAAAGGGGCTGGGCTGTGCCGACGAAGGTCTTTGTCACGTGATTTCTTCCGCTGCTGTCAGTGAAGACCCTGCTGCCGCAATAGTCGGTGACAAGCGTGGTGTTGGTGGCGGTTGGGGGAGCGCGGGGGTCGCTGTTGTGCGAGGAGCAGTGGCGCAAGGCCAGGTGAAGGTCTGCACCCTCGACACCCTTGATGCACGATCGGAAGTAGAGCTTGCCGGTGCGAGAGAGCTTGGGTTCCGCTCCCCCATCATACATGTCACTGTCGCTGCACAGTTGGTCGGGGTTGTCGAGCTTGCCGCAGGCGAGGAAGTCGACAATGAACTCGCCGTACCCCTGCACGCAATCGTGAGTGCAACACACGCTGGTGGATGGATGGGCTGACCTACCTACCTGCAAGGTGACGTCTTGCGCCGTATATGTCTGAATTTCGGCTCCCCTCTGGTATGTCCTCGCGTAGACACATTTCTGCGTCGAGTAGAAGTTCTGTAGAGTGACGTCGCCTGGCAGTGGGTTGTCTACATCCCCGGGCTGGATGCCAACGGTGTTTGTGACGTTGTACCAGTCCTCTGAGATCTCAATCGTTGCCTCGCAGGGGTTGTAGTTCGGGTTAGGGATGGGCTGCTGGATGCACGTGACTTGGTCGGTGCCATCGGTCTCAGTGGTGTTGAAGGACCAGCAGCCGTTGTCCAACTTGAAACTTGGTCCTGTCAGCTGCGTTGCCAAGTTCCTTGACCCATTGCCCCACGACAGTTTTGGCTGGTCCGCCGGCCACGCGTAATCAGAATTCGCTGGAAAGCACCATGTTATGATGGTCTCGCCGCAGTACACTTCCCCGCCGATGTACGGTTGCCCATAGGAGGCGGTGAAAATCAGCGGGAGGACCGAAAACACCCGCATGAGTGGCGACGGGATGCGCAATAGCCCCACTGACACAGCCCTTCTTCGAGTTGAAGAAACTGCGAGACTGGGGGCAGCCCCCCACCTCGGGCTTGCGCGATTGGACCTCTCGCCGACCAGGGAAGAAGGATGGCGGAGGATGGCATCAGCAGTCCAGCTCAGCGGGATGCAGTCGTCGTCCGGTACTCATCGCGTGACTCCCGCCTGGGGATGCCCTCGTCCAACGACGGAAGGCCTCCGTCCTTCGGCCACTCATCCACGCTGAGCCTCGATCAGGTCCTGACCATACCCGAAGAGTCACAGGTGACGGGCGGCCCTCAACACGCACAAACGAGTGAGCGGGCCAATCTCGGATGACTGTGTGTTGTGTGCATGCTGCAGGCTGGCCCTCCTCCCGGAGCGGCATGCTCCTCGTCTCGCACTGGTGCGAATGCCGCAGCAGCGGCAGGGGGATGGGCGGCCAGGCGCATCAAGAAACCAATGCGGTCACTCACTATCGATGTCAGCGAAACGGTCACTGACGCGGCCGGTAAGGGGACTGAGGAAGGTCACCACAGGGCATCTGCTTTCTGCTATATTCTGGTGGCTGTTGTCTGTTGGCATCTTCAGAGGCTCCTGACTCGAGTCGCGCGGACGTTCGGAGGAAGAGGGAAGAGACCAAATATGACTGTGCCAGAGTTCGCGACCGCCTGTACATTTCATCTGAGGAAGTTGCAAAGGACAAATCGGTGAGAGCAAGACACTGGTTGCCAGCTGACCGACTTGCCATGGCGTGCTGTGCTGCGCCTCTCTGTGTCCTTTCGGCTGGCCGTGCAGATGTTGCTGAGTCACGGCATATCTCATGTGGTGAACGCTGCTGTGGAGTGTCCAAACGTGTTCGAGAACGACCCCAATATGCGCATACAGTACCACACACTCGACCTCAGGGTAAACAATACTGACACACGCACACGAACACACACACGACAGCATGCATTATAGGTGTCTGTGTGCCTGTGTGCCTGTGTGTCTGTCTGTGTGTGTGTTAGGACAAGGGCACTCAGGTGTTGGACGAGTCGGTGCTGGAGAGCACCGTTGCATGGATCCAGGGGGCGCTGGACAATGGGGGCAGTGTGCTGGTCCACTGCAAGGCCGGCATTTCTCGGTCAGCCACGCTCGTCATCGCATACCTCATGCGCGTGGAGGGCATGAGCTACGACGAGGCAGTCGAGGAGGTGAGTATGTAAGTGCCGCCATGGATCCATTCACATGACAACGTGCTCTTTGGTGTCTGCAGGTGCGTAAGGTGCGTCATGCTGTGGACCCCAACCTCGGCTTTGTGGAGCAGGTCACTTCGTGGGCCAACAGAGGTAAGTGCGATGTCAGGAACCGACCTTCAGCCGTGGGTGGGTCGGTGCATGGGTCTGTGTGTGGTTGTTTGCTTCCATGCAGAGCGCGAGAACGCCCCTGCGGCCATTCCTGGACGGGCGAGCGCTCCGGTTGTGCCGTCACACACGCCACGGGCTGCTCCGGCTGGGAGGCTCTTCCGCAAATGAGTGGCCACGGCTGACTGCTCGGTTTTCTTCGTAGCACCAGTTTCTGTCTTCCTGTGTGTGTGGTGTGTATATGAGGGCGGACGTCGTGTCCCCCTGCATGGTGGTTTCTCTAGAAGGGGAGCGGGGTGGGGAGGGGGAGTGGCTTGGTCTGGGGGAGGCAGGGGGTTTGTGTGTGTGTGTGTGTGTGTGTGTGTGTTGCCTGTCTGTCTCGGTGACGGTGGTGTAGGCACTCTGACGTCGGACACGATCCAATGCATTCACCATGCAATTACTCCGAAGCGAGCATGCAAGTCAGTCAGTCAGTCAGTCAGTAGTGAGTAGTGAGGGAGTCACGACAATGAAGGAGGAAGTTCGCAAGGTCGCCCCCAGCACGCATGCATCCAGCCGCCCCCCCAACCGCCCGCGTGAAAGCTCCACAATGCCCCCTAGCATACAAAGAGAGCTTAATGGACGGCTAGGCAACACGAGAGCAAGAAAGAGAAAGTCGCTCAGTCATCCGGCGAGGCCGCGTTGCCGTCCTCAGCCAACGGGCCCTCCTCAGGCAGGTCATCTGGATCAGGCGGGGCGTCGTCGCCCTCATGCACCTCCCCATCGTCCATCATCTCGTCATCGCCGTCCTCCTTGCCGCCATCCATCGGACCAGCGTCGCTCACCCCGTTCACCACCCCGTTGTGCACCGGGGGAGCCTCTCCCTCTCCCTCACCATCACCCTCCGCCTCTCGCCCATTGCTGGGGGGGTACCCGTTGGGCATGACGTCGTCATCGGCAGGCTCAGACCGCATCAGCTCGTCACCCTCGTCGATGTCGTCATCGCCAGGTGCATCAGCGTCTGCGTCATCCCCGCCGCCATTATCGTCGTCCATGACGTCTTCGCCCTCCTCCTCGCCTTCGTCCTCGCCGTTGCTGGGAGACGGGCCAGAGGGACTGGGGGAGGGAGAGGGGGAGTGGCGAGCGGGGGCGGGGGGACCGGGCATCACCTGCTCGCGCGGCAGCAGGGGGGCCTGGTACGGGGCGGGCTTGAAGGTGACGTGCTCGTAGGTGGCGCTGAGGTCCCTCATGGCGCGCTGGGCGGTCTCGCGCTCGGCGTACTCGACGGCCTGCGTGTTAGGGGCGATCCAGTTGCACTCCATGAGGAAGTCGTACAGCCGAGCGGTCTTGTTTACATCTGATGATCAAGGCAACCAGTGGACAAAGACAGCACAGCATGAATGTCCGTGTGTGTGTGTGTGGGGTGGGGGGGAGGGAGGGGAGTGGGGGGATGTTTAGAACTTTACTGAGGCGGATGATCTTCGATGCCTCGTCTCTTGAAATGGGCCCTGTGTCGACAGACAAGACAGAGGTGGGTGGGTGGGTGAGGTGAGGGTAAGGTGGGGTAAGGCACGTTCCACGGCGCTGCGTGCTGTGCCGCCCACCACACTTACCGCTCTTTTTGGCCTCGTCGATGAGGACCTTCTTGATCACCAAATAGTGCTGCGCGGGCATCGAGATGCTCTCGCAAAACTCACGCTCCTGACAGATAGACACACACACACCCACACACGCGTCTGTCTGGCCTCCCCCACACGATGCTTGCTGACCCACCTTTTGTGTAAGGAGGTTTGCGCAAGGCAGTCGCTCCAGCTCCGACGGATTCGGCAGCTGAACACACACACAAATCATGTATCACGTATGGGCGTGTGATGTACCAATCGTCTGGCCCTCTTGTCGTCTTGTCAGTCAGCCACCTACTCACCCACTCACCTGCAGCGGCGCTTGCCCGTCGTCCGCAGGCCTCTTGGCGGCCTGGTTGCGGCGAGCCTGACGGGCAGCCTGACTCTGAAAGATGGGGGATGGATGACACAAGGACGATGGTGTGGTTGGTGCAGTGTGGCTGATTGGCAGGGTAACTGACTGACCTCTCCGTAGATGTATGGGAGGTCCTTCAGAGTCTCGTCCCGGCGCTTCTTCTCCTGCTCGAACGACTGAAGACACACACACACACGGTAGGATGTGCACACGCGGGGATGTCAGTATATGCGCGTGTGTGTGTCTGCCTTACGTGTGCCTCGTCGAGTGAGGCGAGCCCGAGTGACTTCCACTCACGCAGCCGCTCCAGCCGAGACCGAAGGCGACGCTCTTCCATCAGATTCTACATAGGGAGGGCACACACACAGGTCATGAGATCCGCTGTGTGTGTGTTGTTGTTGTTGTTGTGGTGTGTGTGGTGTGTGTACCGATACGAAACGGTTGTGGGAGGCCTGGTCGTGGAAACGCATCAGAGGCCTGAGTTGGTTGTACAGCTCGCGCTCCTCCTTGGGCTTTTTCTTCTCCTCCTGCTGCAACTTCTTGATGTCCAACAAACCCCTGAAAGCCACGCACCCACACACGCACAAGTACAAGTGTGTCTGTGTGTGAGCGTGGTGGCGTGCACACCTTTCGATGAAGAAGTTCTTGCGACGCTGCCTCTCGTCGAGCTTGGCGTTGTACACCTCCAGCACCTTGAGCTGCGTCTCGCGCTGCTCGGGGTTCATATCATCTGCAGCAAAAAACGAGTCAGTGAGCGGCAGGGCCGCGTGTGAATGGTACGTGGTTGGGAGGATGGTGAGTCACTCGACTCACCGGTGAATTCCATGTCAGCGATGATGAGCTCGGCGTCGTTGTCATACTCGACGTCGAAATCGCCGCGCTTAGGCATGAACCTGACGCACACACAACACACACACACACATCAACAAGCACACACACGTGTAAGGCGGATGGTCCACCGACCCATCGGTGGTCTGTCTGCACACATCGATCGACTCACCCGATGATATTGCTCTCATTGGTAGCGCCTCCCTGCGGCCGCTGTGACCCCGTGCCAGCCCCCGCCCCCCCTCCCGTCCCTGCCTGTCCCCCCGATTGGCTGCGGCCGCCGACTTTGCTCGTGGCGTCGCCGCGACCCCGATCGCTCTTGCCGTCCTGGTCCACAGAGTCGCGGTCGTCGCGCTTGCGCTTCTCGCCGCGGCTGACAACACTTTCAGCATCTGATGGATCGATGGCACCACACACACACACGCAGGAAAAGGATGGGTGGGTGGGGTGCGTTCTGTGTAAACGCATTGCGTCTGTGTGCGTACCATTCATCGCCAAGTCCTCGTCGGCACGCGCCTGGTCCGCAGGCTGAGTGCCATTCTGATCATCACCAGGCACACGCACACACACACACACACAAACAGATGAATGCGAAGAAGAGCATCCATCCATCGTGTGATCGCTGTGCATCTCACCCGGGCACGTGCGCTCGCGTCTGCGTCGGGGATGGGCGCCGACTTGGGTTTGAGGTACTTGGCGGTGTAGTGGGCCTCGCACTGTTTGGCGTCCTTCCCGCTCGCCAGCCGAGACGTCTGAATGATGGTGTTGATGTGGTCTGCGATCTCCTGCACACACAACACAGACAACACCACACACTCATTCTGAGTCTGCGACGAGCCGTCCATCCAGCAAACAAACTAACTGACCTGCCAGTTGCCGAGTCCGAACTTCTCAATGCCCTCGAGCAGCGCCCAATCCTCATCGGCCGACCAGTCTGACATAAGCAACACACACGCACCAGCGATGAGTGCCCATGGTCAGCAGAGACACGGAGCTCGGGCAGTGGATGGCTGTGTGTATGTGTGTGTGGTTAGGTGGTCACCCACCCTGAGAGAGGATGCGCGTGTGCGACAGAGGCTCCTGAATGAATGAAGCAACGGACAGGACAGCACAACACACGCAGTTCCAATCACCAGTCGATGTCTATACCGCTCTTCTTCTCTGTCTGCCTCTGGCGTGATGCTGTCTGTCTGTCTGTCTGTCTGTCTGTGAGTCTTACCAGGACATAGTACTTGTGGTTGCTCTTGTGATCGCCCCGCTCCACCCCCCGCGCGAAACACTCGACGCAGAGGTCCATGTTCCTGCACTCGGCGCATTTGATGCGGACCGACGACGTGAAGCTGCAGTGACAGTAGTCACAGTGGTACTTGAGCAGCTTCACGTCGCCGGCGCCTGCACACACACACACACACACAAGGAGCCCATTCACATATTCCATGCACTGCAAACGGGCCATTGGTGTGTGTGAGCATCCTCGGGCGTCCATTCCACACCGCTCACCGCAGAGGGAGCCGTCAGAGGAGCGGTGGTCCTCTCCCTGACGGCTCCGCTTGGCCCTGACCGAACAAATCACGTAAATGCATCGACGTTCGCTCTGGGTGACTGAGTAGGTGCGTATTTGCCGTGCGCGTGGGAATGCATTGCTCACCGTGGCTCGTCGGCGTTGGGGTCGGCGGTGTCCATCATCTCACGCACGCCTGCGATCGCGAAAAGAGAAACAGGGGAAATTGACCGTGGAAATCAACACGGTGGACACGCTCGTGATGTTGCATGTGTCCTCCTTACGTTCGTTGCCACCACTTCTCCTCGGATCGCCTGAAAGCTCGCAGTATTCTCGCGGCGCGAGAAGGCATTGTGGATGTCCAGGAGGGCTGGGGATGGAGGACGAGGACGAGTTACGCGAAAGAGCGCATGGAAATGTGGACGCCTTGGTGGCGAATCTGGTGCAGAGCTATCAGCGCATCCTGAGGCATCTCAAGGTGAGAATGGTGCAGAGAAAAGGATCCGCCCCACACGGACGGGCCATCCGATTCATCAGCAATGGATCTGTGGCGTCTGTGTGGTGTGTGTGCATTGCAGCTGAACACTGCCGAGGGAGCGCTCAATGACGCACTGCAGAAGAACCTGCTCATCAAGATCTCGGCTGAGAGCATCGTAAGTGCAGAGGCAGCAAACACCGCGACAACACAGCGCAGCATCTCTGTCTGTGTGTCGTGCGTGGCTTAGATGCATTCTTGCCGCAAGCTGCTGCAGCTGTGTGCTGATCTGTCCCTGTCTGAGGCTCTGCACGATCTGCCGAAGCGGCTGCAGGAGATTGAAGGGGAGAGGAAGTGGCTGGTTGACGAGTTGGAGGCGCTCCAGCAATACGATGACCATTGAATGTGTTCATCCATGGTGTGTATTGTGTGTGTTGGGGAGTGTGTGGAGTGTCGGAGCTATGTATACGCTCACACTCACACTTACACACAGCCGACGGACTTGGAGCCATCTCTTTCTTTCTGGGACACAACAGAAACACACATATATACGCCTATGTACACACGGGAACATGTTGGTGGCATGCATTCTGCGGTTCTTCCTAATCGACCGAGGCGGAGATCGAGGACGACTACCCCATCGCGATGTCCTTCGCCCACCCTCCTTTCACCAAAAACGGCCTCGCCCACCTCATCCGCACTAGAGGAAACACACACAAGTGAGCCATAGTGGGGAAGAGACATTGACATATACACAAAGGTGCACTTGAAGGTGCAAGAAGTGAGTGCCTCGATGACATTGGTGCGTCTGTGTGTGTCTGTGTGTGTGTGCGTCTGTGTGTGTGTGTGTGTGTCTGTGTGTGTCTGTGTGTGTAGGTCAGTTGATTTGTAGACTGGTGGTGCTGGCAGTGAACAGCCCAGCAGCGAAATGTGAGTAGATGAGATGGAGGGGCGCGGTGTCGTCTGCCGACATCTGTACGTGTACGTCCACATGACCGGCCATGTGTGAGAATGAGAGGTCATGTGTGAATTACACTGACTGACGGTGGGCGAATTCGCACACATCCAGTTCAATCCAACTGTCCGTGTCCATAGATATTCACACACGCACTCACACGCACCCCATCCACAGAGCGCAGGCCAACCTCCGTCACATGCAGCATCAGAAACAGATCGATGACGCAACAACTCCCTGCCACTGCAGTGTGTGTGCAACAGTGGCCGGCCAATACACTCCGGCAAAAGGCATGCCAATCGCTGGGGTGCGTAAAAGTATGGCAACAACAAAACAATTCAGTGTGCACACAGACCCTCCCAGTTGACCCGCCCCCATTATGGTCTTTTAGCAGCATGGCTGGAACACTGCGTGATGTCTCCATCGAATATAAAATGCAAGCAGCGATTCGATTCGTGACCTGAGACACCACCGCCAGCTCTTGTGCTCGCCCCGCTCGACGCCCCGCGAGAAGCACTCGACACAGACGTCGGAGTTCTTGCACTCGGCGCATTTGACTCGGACCGACGAAGGGAAGTTGACGAGACACTACACACCACCAGCCGACAGACCAGAGACACATACATACAAGTTGTCTGCGGCGATCTCCTGTCGTCTGTCATGGTTGTGTGTTTGTGTGTTGCAGTCCATCAGTGAGGGGACAGCGAAAGCTTCTCATTTTTGCGGTGACTTTGAAACTGCTCCTATCGAATATAAAATGTAGACAGCGATTGATGGCCTGCGAACACCCAACACAACACAAGAGTGAGAGACACACGCACCTTCATCGAACCGAATGTTCATCAAGGTACCTCCGCCAGTGCAGGCGTCATAGACGGATGCGCCGTCCAGGCCATCCTCGAGCGTCCATTCCACACCGCTCACCACCTGAGAAGCCTGGACAGCACAACACACGCAGTTCCAATCACCAGTCGATGTCGACATATCGCCCTTTTTCTCTGTCTGCCTCTTGATGCTGTCTGTCTGTCTGTCTGTGAGTCTTATCAGGACATAGTATTTGTGTGTGTTCTTGTGCTGGCCGCGCTCGACGCCGCGCGAAAAGCATTCGACACACAGATCGAAATTGTGGCACTGGGCGCACGTAATCCGGACCGACGACGTGAAGCTGCTGTGACAAGCGTCACAATGATACTTGAGCAGCTTCACGTCGTCGGTGCCTGCACACACACACACACGCACACCGAGCCCATTCACATATTCCATGCACTGCAAACGGGCCATTTGTGTGTGTGAGCATTCTCGGGCGCCCATTCCCCACCGCTCACCGCAGAGGGAGCCGTCAGAGGAGCTGGGACCCTCTCCCTGACGGCTTCTTTTCGGCCTGACCAAGAAGAAATCACGCAAATATATCGATGTCCACCGAGGTGACTGAGCAGGTGCGTATTTGCCGTGCATGTGGGAATGCATTGCTCACTTCGGCTCTTCGCAGTCGGCGTCCATCATGTTATGCACCTGTGCGATCGCGGAGCGACAAACAAAAAAACTGACCGTGGAAGTATCCACGGTGGACACTCTCGTGGCGTCGCATGTGTGCCGCGTGAGTTCGTTGCCGCGTTCGCCAGCTCTTGTGCTCGCCTTTCTCGATGCCCCTCGAGAAACACTCAACGCAAAGGTCGAGGTTCTTGCACTCGGCGCATTTCACTCGGACTGATGATGAGAAGTTGACGTGGCAGCTGTCGCAGTGGTACTTCAGGAGCTTGACGTCGGTGGCATCTGCACACACACACACGCACACCGAGCCCATTCACATATTCCATGCACTGCAAACGGGCCATTGGTGTGTGTGAGCATCCTCGGGCGTCAATTCCACACCGCTCACCGCATGTAGAGCCGTCAGACGACCGCTGGTCCTCTCTGTGTCGGCGCTTCGCCCTGACCGAACAAATCACGTAGTAGGTACGTATTTGCCGTGCGCGTGGGAATGCATTGCTCACTTTGGCTCGTCGGCGTCACCGTTGATGCTGTCCATCATCTCATGCACTCGTGCGATCCTAGAACGAAAAACAAACGAAACTGACGGTGGAATTTCAAACTGTGGACATCCTCGTGATATCGGTGCTCCCTAAAACCGCTGCTGTGGCTGCAGGAGATTGCGGGGAGAGGAAGCGGCTGCTTGACGAGCTGGAGGCGCCTGAAGAGAGAAGAAAGGTCACGCGACAGCAGGTGACCGAGCTCTTAGGTACTTGCGCAGGTGATGCAATTGTTGACGACGTTGAGGAGCCACCACCGCAGTACTGCAGTGCTCCCATCTCCAAAAAGCCCTCGACCTCGTCGGCGGAAAATTCGGCTCTCTCTCTCCTCTTTTACACGTCAGAGAACTAGGAGCCTCCTCCTTGTTTGCTGACCTCAGCACACCCATGGCACCGAAATGCAGCATGCCTTCATCCCTACACATCATCCACACACCAAACCATCACCACACCCAAGAGACATTTGCTCACGAGACCACACTGATATGTACTCACCTGTTGGAGATCGGTATATGCGAAAAGAAGGCGCCTGCGCACACGGGAGGCGCCAGGGAGTCGCTAGCCGCTCCAAAGAAGGCAGGGCGCCACCAGGCGAGGCCTCGCCCGGGGCAACGGCGATGGAGGAGAAAAGTGGCGGTTGAACTCCGGACGAGTTGGGAGAGGTAGAGGGAGATGTGGCGGACAACACAAGCCAACAGCCAGCCGAAAAGAAAAAGAAAGGGAGGATCTGTGGCGGAAACAAGGCTGGAAAGCCGAACGCGGACGAAACATGGGGAAAATGGAATGCGAGTTTGTAAATCACTTTTGTCTCCGTCTCAGCTCGCAAAAATCTCGCCGCACACGCATTTCGCTTTCCGGACAGCCGTCAGACCTTCGCAGTTGGAGGTCTTCGTCCTCGTTGATCGTCCTTATTGTCGGGGGCGTCTCCGTCTTTTTGCGCCATAGCAGATGACGTCCGGCTTTTCGCAAGTCCCCTCGTCCTCCGCTCTCTTTCTTGTCTGCTGACGTCCATTCGCTCTTCTCGGCTGTCGGCAGCCACACGCGTCTCTTCTCCCTTATGGTCTCCCACCCTTGCACTGCTGAGTCGAGTCAGGAGGGTGCTTCCCAGTGCTGGGCCTTTGTTGGGCTGAAGGTCACCGTGTAAACGGGTCATTCCCGATCACTTTGTGCGCAGTCAAAGCGAAAGAAAGCCATCGCTTGCGAGAAGCCACGGCCATCAAAAGAAACTGAGCCAACGCACGTTACAGAGGGAGAGAGCGCGAACAACACGGAAGACCTCCCTCCGTGGAGAGCGATGGGTGCATCAGCTTAGTTTCCCGAGCACGTGAGCAGATACTCAATAGGTGTCCGTGATGGGCTGTACATGTGTGAGTGCGCCGTGGGTGCTTCACACTGTCTGCAACGCATGACCATTCATTCATTCATCCGCAGCCTCAGTCCCGAAACGAACCCACCCACCCACCCACCCAACTCACACATAGCCAATGGACTTGGAGGGCTCCCACGCCCCTCTCACTCTCTCTGGCACACAACACACGCAGACACGCACACGCACATCCTGACTGCCTATCCTGAGGCCTGTTCTGACTGACGAGGATAGCAGTACCAACACACGAGAACATGTCAATCATGCATTCTGCGGTTTTTTTTCATAAACTGACGAAGACGGCAGTACAAACGCTCACACGAGAAAAGGCCAGCTGTTTGCTTCCTTACGATTGCCACACGCACACGAACAGACAGACACATCAAACAACGACACGCGCTTCACAAAGAACTAAGGCCCCGCCGACTGACTCGTCGGCACGAGTAAATCGCTAATAAGAGCATACACAAACCGATCCCCCTCTGCGACCACCCAAATCATCTCGTATTCTGCCATCATGGCGTATTTTGCCACCATGGCCCGTCTGGCCCATCCGAATTGCAGTTGAAAGGCACATCAGGGTCTGGCCAGTCGTCGTCTCGCCCACCCCCATCGAGCAGATCATCAACAGAATTCGGGGGCAAGACCAACTTCCTCCAGGTCCGCGCAGGAAGGAGTATAGTCATCATCGGGCCTATCGATGATCTCATCCAGGGACTCATCATCTGGCCATCCGTTGTCTTCCTCAGCCGCTCGCTCAGCCGCTCGCTTCACTCGATTCGCAAATCCAAATTGCAGTCTGCGTTTCTCCCAGTCGTCGCCACTGGCACCTGGGCCGTCGATGATCTCATCCAGGGACTCGTCATCTGGCCATCCGACGTCTTCCTCAGCCGCTCGATTCACCATGTCCTCAGCCGCTCGCTTCATATCATTAGCGGCCCGATTCACGGCCCGATTCATGTCATCCCTTGGGCTGCCAAATTGCAGTCGGCGTTTCTCCCCATCTCCGTCGCTGGCAGCTTGTCGATCGGCCATCCCTCCAAGTTGCAGCCCGCGAAGGGCGGGCGGGGCCTGACAGAGAACAGCCACGCATCAGTTAAAGACACACACAGAGGAGTGTGAGGTCCTCAGCCCTCACCGAAGACACGGCCGAGATGGCGAGGGCGAAAGTCAACAGAGGCACCTTCGTCATGATGGCGGGAGCTGATTCTGTTGTCTTTTCCGATGCAGCACTTGGCAGCACTCGGCACTGGTAGTTCGCAGCAGAGATGGACTGAGATCTGAGACGAAGGGCGCAAAGAGAGAAGGGGTGGCAGATGAGATGGAACGAGGAGGCGGGTGGCATAGGCGTAGACAGGGGCTCTTCTCGCGACACGCATCTCTCTCCATCTTTTCTCCTCCGCTCTCCACTTTCGCTTCTCCCTCCGGATTTAGGGTTTCAGATCAGTTTGACGCGTTTAGGGTTTCTGGTGACACTGCACTCGTGCCCGTCACCAGACCGCTACGTTCCTGCGTGGACCATGGATGTCTATGTCGTATCAGCTCCCATCCATCCATCCATCCATCCGCGACATCCCATCCATTAGCGGCCCAGCGTGGCGTCTATCTTGGTGGCCAGCTGGATGGCGGGAAACAGCAGCCCTGCGGACTTCTTGCTCAGCTGCAGGAAATGCTCCATCGATATCTTCCCCGTCTGTGCCGGCAGGCCCAGCGACTCGAATATCTGATCGGCCCTGTGTGCGCAACACACCACACACGCCATCCAGAGAGAGACATGAAATGTGCGTCGCGTTGTGTTTTCTTGTGAGTTACTTCTTCTCGATTTCGGCGTCCGACTGTGCGTTGGATGCGACGAAGTTGGCCCTGAGTATCTTGATGAGCTCCTTTCGGTCGATGAAGCCGCTGCAGTCCTCGTCGAACATCATGAAGGCGAACTTGAGCTTGTCCGTCTTGGACGCACCTGACATACACAAAACAAAACAACACACCCATGCAGTCCTGTGTGGTGATGTGTGTGGTGTGGTGTGGTGTGGTGTGGTTTGGTGTGGTGTGGTGTGGTGTAACGTGGTGTGGCGTGTCCTTCACATACTGGTGAAGGATGAAAGGCCGACGATGAACTCCTTCAGCTCGAGGCTGCCCGACCCATCCGCATCGAACATGTCAAACACCCGACGCATCAACGGCGATGGCTCGGTGTCCAACACCTACACACACGCATTGATGGTGGGTGGGTGGAGGGGGGAGGGGGCGAATGGCCTGCTGACTTTGCAGAATTCGTCATAGTCTATGAGTCCGCTCTTGTCGTCGTCCATTTCCTGGAACTTCTTGTACACCTTCTTGATGTAGGCCGGCTTGAGCGCCTTCTGCTTGCTGAACTCCTGCATGATGGCCTCGCGGTCGATCTTCTTCAGGCCGCCGCCGCCACCACCACCGCCAATGGCTGCGTCGTCTTCCTTCCTCTCTGCAGAACGTATTGCTCATTGTTCTGCTCTGTCTCAGGGCGTGTGTGTGTGCGTGTGTGGGGTACTTGCGGTGGTGTCTTTCTCGCTCTTGGACGACTTGAAGAGGCTGGCGAAGGTGTTGGGCTGCTGCTGCTGGCCAGAGCTGCCCACACTTGCGCCAAGGACACTCATCTGACCCGTACACGGTGCATGGATAGAAGCGACACACGAACATGATGTGACACGTCGTGCAGGAACCCTTTCATGCGCACCGGTGCTGCTGCTGCTGCAGGTGGTGGGAGGGTGCCCGGCAACGGGGGAGGCGCCTGTGGGGGTGGGGGGACGCGACCTGTCCATCAATCAGTGCAGCCATCCATCCGTCCCACACACACACAGAGCAGAAGGGCGAGAATGCGCACAAGGGCACACCAGAACCTACCTGATGATCCGAGGTCTCCCGGCATTCGCAGAGGGGATGGGGGGACGGGCACGCCCGCCGCCCCGACAGCATTCGGGTCGGCCGCCCACAGGACCGGGGGGGACTTGACCAACTTGTAAAACTCGTCATACGTCACCTGTGAGTGAGGAAGTGGAACAAATTCATGCACACTCTAGGCGGCTGATGGGTAAGTCGCTGGTATGTGTGGTTGTGTGGTGTTTGATTTTGCCCTTCCTCACCTGTCCATCGCCGTCGATGTCTATCATGCGTATCATTTCGTCTATCTCCTCGTCGCTCGCCTTCTCCCCTATCAGATCCAATATGTGACGAATCTCAGCGGCACCCACAAACCTGAATGACGAAACGACCGACATCCCTCGCACACGCCCCACCCACAAACGCACCCATCCATTCATTCATTCAGTCACGCTCTGTCCCTCCCCTCTCGCCCACCTGTTGTTATCGAGGTCGAATGTGTCGAAGGCCTGTTTGATCTCCTCATCGGCATAGTCCCTCTCCTGTATACCCGGAATGACGAACGCCTGCGACGTCTGCTCTGGACCAGGCAGCCCCGGCCTGAGGCTCCCAGGCGGGCCCTTGCTGGTAGAGAGGTTGACCGAGCCCCTGCTCCCGCCCATCGACGGTCCCAGACCGCCAAACACCGGCGGCGGCGGCATCATGACGGGATTGGTGATCGACAGACGCCCTCCGGATGGAAAGCCACCTCCAGTGGTGGGTTTGGGTGGTGCGTCGGACGGTTGGGATGGAGAGAGAGGGCCTGTTGCGACGGGAGGGGGAGGAGGGGGAGGCATGAACGGCGGGCCGCTCATGGTGCGATGTTTCCAAAGACTGAAAAACAGAGACCAGGAAGCGAAGATCTGGGCGTTTGTGACTCCAGGAGGCTGTTCTTCGACTCTGTCCACTGAGTTTACAGAATCCGCCGATCGCGCGCGAGATCCTTTTTTGAATCCAATTTCACCATGAAGGGAGCCATTCTGTTGCTTGTGGCATCCATCTTCACAACGATCTCATCCTCCTCCCACCTGGCAGCCGTATCGCACCAGTAAGACCACAGACCTGCACCGAGTCATCGCGTTCTGCCAACTTCGCCGTTTGTGTTGCAGTTTCTCCGCTGCCAATGGGAAGGCAGCCACTCCCGACATCCGCGCACTCGCCAGCGGCGAGCTGGTGTCCGACACGTCGACGGCTCCCCAGTGTGACGTGGAAATTGAGGGATCCATCTGCTTGCACAGCGGCAAGCGAGTGATCCTTCCCGCCGCACGGCAGGAGGGATGTATCGCCCACTTCACGTTCGATGAGTCGGAGCCCGTCGACACGTCGGGATTGGCTCATCATGGGTCGGGCAGCATCTTTGCAGCGCCGGCCTTTGGTGGCGTCGGGTCTTCGGCGCTGTTTCGGGTAAGATCCAGACAGTCAACGTTGACAGTCGACACTGACTCAACAGCCAAGAATCATCTGTGTTTTGGTGTCGTTTGTCACTCTGCAGCAGCAGATGATGACCGTGCCGCACTCGCCCCACTTCGATGTGTGTGAGAAATGTGCAATGATGATGTGCGTGTCTGTTTGTTTGTTTGCTGCTTCATTTCTTTGTTTGTTTGTTTGTGTGGTCTTAGAGTGCCGACTTCTCGGTGACGTTCTGGATGTTTCTGTTGCGGGCCAACGACGCTGACACGACAGACACCAAGGGCCTCAGATGGTGAGTTGTGGTGTCACCACCAACTGTCCCTCACCTTTCATCTATCATGCCATCCATGCAGGTGCCCATTGCTGCACAAGGGCGTCGCCAATCCCGATGTGCATTCGTTCGAGTACCATCCTGAGATCGCCCTGCACAAGACCGACAAGCGGCTCAGGGCCCGCGTCACCACCACCGCAAACAGCGGCGAGGAGGGCGAGAGTCTCGTTAGTAATGCGCGGCTGAACCATCACACCTGGACACACGTGGCACTTGTGCGCCACGGCGACAAGCTTCGGCTGTATGTCAACGGCATACTCGACGCTAAAGTCAAGACGGCTGGTAAAGCGAGACACAGAATGAGAGACACACCACACTGAGAGGGTTGGGTGTCGGTTGTTGTTTGTCAGGTGTGTCTCGCGCCAATGAATTACCATTGTACGTCGGCTCGACTCCACTGACACAACCACTCTGCGACGGTGAGTGGGTGCGGCCCTTGATTTCATCCACACCATCGCATGATGTTCCTGCGTTTGCCGTTTTGCTTTGTGTCCATTGTGTGTGTGCGCGTATGCATAGTTCCCCTTCTGCTGGACGAGCTGCGCGTTTACAACCGTCCTTTGGGGCGTGACGAGATCCAGGCTGAGGCGGCGCCGGCGCTCGGCGGCACTGAGCCCTCGTTCATCCGGCTGGCATGCCTCAACTGCACACTCTCTGAGGCCGTCGCTGCGTGCCCGGCCGGTGAGCTATGTGCGGGAAATAATGTGGTAGCCTGCAGCTGTGTCGTGATGTCTGCAGGCTACCACATCTGCAATTCGCTCGAGCTGCATTCTGGAGGTGATGGATGGACAGCCACACGATACACACACGCACACATCCACAAGGCTTCTGTCGTTTCCGAATGCAGGCTACCAAGTTGCGAGAGGCAACGGATACGTCAGTCCATCCATCCACCCATCCCACGCACCACGAACACACCCTCCTTGCGCCGTGTCTCGTGTGCATCGTGTATGTCTGCAGGTTGGTCCCGACACAGAGCTGTGGACGCAGGTGTCACCGCAGACCAACGCAGCTGACGGACCAGGTGCACACTCACTTGCGCAGAAAGGAGACACACACACACACGTAGCCGCACGGACTGTGTTGTCTGTCTGCAGACGGTGCTGCCAGCGGAGGTGCGCTCGGCTTGGGTCTCTGTTGCCGAGATGCAGAGTAACTGACTGGCTGACAGACAGACAGTGTCCGGCGAGTGGGTGGATGAATAAGCGATGGACTGTGCGAACGGAAAGACGAATGAATGAATGAATTCATCGCTGATTTATCGATGCGCTCAGTCCCTTAGTTCCCTCACAAACACCTACTCACAAGCTTCTTAAGGAGGCACAGACAAAACCTAATGTACCCGACATACGCATACAGCCGTCAATCCTTTCCCTCTGGCCGTCCATCTTTTCGTCCCACTTTTCGCCGTTCATCTTGGTGTGCGCGAACACAGTGGGACGAAGAGATCCATTCCTAATCGATCGCACAAAGACAGACACACAAAGGAAGATGAAGGGATGGACACGCAGCCTGGTCAGGCTGTGTGTGCCCTCTGGTAGTACTAGTTGGGAAGACGCGAAAGGTCCTTACGCAAACACATCACGTCCTGACACGCACACACACAGTCTGACCCACCTTTGATGAAGCAGAGTGACTCGAGGGGCCCTCTTCTGTCGTTTTCAAACATATCCACGTATCGTCTCCTCCATATTTCGGCAGTCTCTGCGCCATTCTCCTGAGCACACACACACGCACGCCCTCATACACACCGAAGACACCCTTCTCCCACCTCTCGCATAGGGCATGATGCTGCCTACCTCACCTGCCCTATGCTTGCATGAAGGGGCAGATCCGTGGCTGTGTTGGTGGCAATTGGTTGGTGGTTAAGGGTAAGATTGTCCGAGTGTCCATGCGCTGGGACAGTCGATTACATATCCGCATCTAAACTGTTGACAGCAACAAGCAAATCATTCGCTACCTACTACCCCCCCGATCCGTAGCTGTTGGATCCAGGCATTTCGAATCGGATCGGCTTTTGCGAGCTCAGAACCTTCACAGCTCGCAAAACGCGGTTGGAACCGAAGGAGGAGCTCGCGAGCCGGGCGTTGCCGACAGCGGCAAGCATCGAATTTCACGCGATTGCACTGAGATCACAGAGACCGAGCACAGAGAGCAGGGGAGAGAGGATGGAGAGAGACGGGTGTCGCGAGAAGACCGCAAAGGCGCCCCTGTCTACGCTTATGCCACCCATTCCCTCGTTCATCTTACCTATCCACCCAATTCTCTCTTTGCGCCCTTTCACCTCAGTCTGCGCCCTTCGTCTCAGATCTCAGTCCCTCTCTGCTGCGAACTACCAGTGCCCAGTGCTGCCCAGTGCCTGCATCGGAAAAGACAGCAGACCATCATGACGAAGGTGGCTCTGTTGACTCTTGCCCTCGCCATCTCGGCTGTGTCTTCGGTGAGCGGCTGAGGACCTCATGTACGCGTGTGTGTGTCTTTGATTGATGCGTGGCTGTTCTCTGTCAGGCCCCGCCCGCCCTTCGCGGGCTGCAACTTGGAGGGACCGATGGACATGATGCCAGCGGCGGAGATGGGGAGAAACGCCGACTGCAACTTGGATTTGGCAATCCCTTGAATGACGTGAAGCGAGCGGCTGAGCGGGCGGCTGGGCGAGCGGCTGAGCGAGCGGCTGAGGAAGACAACGGATGGCCAGATGACGAGTCCCTCGATGACATCATCGACGGCCCAGGTGCCAGTGGCGACGACTGGGAGAAACGCAGACTGCAATTTGACTCTTCAGGGGTAACAATGTATAATTTTCCCTTCGGCGGTAACCGCGTGAAGCGACTGGCTGAGCTGAGGGGGACAGGACGAGAGCCGGACGAAGATACCAGCGGCGGAGATGGGGAGAAACGCCGACTGCGACTTGGAATTTCAACCGACCCAATGGATTCCGTGAAAGACGCGATGCGAGAGTTTGAGCGAGCGGCTGAGCAAGCGGCTAGTCGGAGGAAAGGCAACGGCCTTGATCTTGATGTCATCAAGCCTGGTGACATCGACCGCGACAGCGACGACGAGTGGCCAGAGGATAGGCCTCTCGGCGACGGCGACGGCCCTTATGAGATCATCGACGACCGTGTATGACCTTGATGACGTCATTGATTGCCCGGACGCCGACGCAATTGATGTGTCTATGACCATTTCAACTGCGATTTGGGTTCACTTGGATCGCGCAGTGGATCGCGTGAATCGAGCTGCGGATCCGAGCTAGATGCTTTGCTCGACGGGCCGTGGCCCATGGCCCCATTTCCCACATCTTTGCGAGTGCCGGTGAGTCATTCGGCCGAGCATTTGTTGTTTGTGAAGCGCGTGTCGTTGTTTGAGGTGTCTGTCTGTTCTTGTGCGTGTGGTGACAATCGTAAAGAAGCAAACAGCTGGCCTTCTTTCGTACGTGTGTTGGTAGTGCTCTCCTGTGAGCCAGGAATAGGCCGCAAGAATGCATGTCATCGTGTGTACATAGGTGTGTCGGTGGCATCAACGTATGAGTCGTAAGAGCCCATCTGATCCATTGACGATGGCCGGAACGTACACGGTCGTGTCCATTATGTGTGCGCATGGACTGAGAGTGAGAGAATGAACGGTCTCTACATCGATAAAAGACTCGCTGCATGACGGATGGATGGATGGATCTACACACACACACACACAGAGCTACTCGCATCTCCCAATGCACACAAAAGCTCTATCTCCAATCAACCAACCAGCCAGCCACGTGCCATGTCAAGTACAAGAGAGAGAAGGGGGGAACGCTACCCATCCATCTATCTATCTAAGTGTTCGCCGCCTCGTGTGTGGGTGGTGTCTGTGAAGGGAATGACCCGAGTACCCTCATGGAGCTGGTCAGGGCCCTGAGTGCGGCGATCGCCTTGGACAGAGGACCGTCCTGCGCGTGCCCATCCGCCTGGGCCAGAAAGGTGTACTGCCGGCCATCACGCCTAAACAAATTGGCACACACACACACACACACACAGAGAGAGAGAGAGAGAGTGGCGCGATGTGGCGCGCATGTCCAGCGATGCATGCGCATGTGTGTACCTGGATGGGAAAGAGTTGAGCGACGACAGGTTGATGCCCTCGGCCTTGAACGCCTGAGCACCACACCACATTACACCACACAAACAGTTGAATGGTTGCTCATGGGCGGACCTGTAGTGCTGCTCCGAGAGCGCCCGATTGGTTTGAGACGGTGAATTGCAGCAGCGTCTTGTCATGGCCCGTCCGTACGCCGTAGTCCTTGCCTGCATCGGGAATTAACGCGTTCATCCACGACACACACGAAAGGAATCCTGCCGCGTGTCCCACCTGCTTACCGAGAATCAGGTATCGCGACACGCTCGGAAAGTCATCAAGCAGCTTGGAGTGAATTATCTGGACGAAGACAATAAGCACATCCACACACGCACAGTCCCCCTATTGTCTGTCTGTGTTTTGTCTTTCGCCTCCCTCCCTCCCTCCCTCCCTCTCTACGTCCCCCTGGCTCACCGACAGCCCGTGGTGCCTCGCCGCCTCCTCCAGCGTCACTGCAGCGCCTGTTGGGTCCTCACGGGCCAGACGAGCAGCTGTAGGCACACACAACACAACACAGTGCACGCAACGCCACACAACGTCCCGCCCACCCACCTTCAGCCACAGTGGCGGACGCGCGTATGGTGGCGTTTGGCAGCTCGTTGGCCAGCATGGCGGCGCACTCGTCCGCCAGCTCAGAGTGCACATAGACGTTCCGCAGCTCGTCCAGCACCACGGCAGACCCCTTGGGCGTGGCAAACCGGCCAGCCAGACCAGCCTCCTCCCTCTGTGCTGGTGGCACGCCGTTGGCCGTGTTTGCCGTCGGGTTGGCGCTGTCGCCTCTGGGTGCGACGGCCAGGACGTAGTGCTCGTTGACATACACCTCGCCGCACACCACCACATCCGTCTCGAGCAGCTGACAGACACAGAGGGGCAAGAGGGATGCGTGGCTGTGTGTGTGTCCTCTCTCTCTCTCTCTCTGTGTGTGTGAGTGTGTGTGTGTGTCTGATCCACCTGGTAGACGGTCGGTTGGCAGATGCCCGTGACCACATTCTCAATCGGCACCACCTGATCGTGCGAACAACACAGCAACAAAGGGATGGATGGATGCAAGAGTCGGTCAGCTTCCCTCCCTCCTTGTCTTACAGCAAAGTTGACGTCCTTTGCGAGTACGGCGAGCACCGCCCTGACGACTGACGGCTCAGGCACCATCTCGACCGCATCGCTCCCGAAGTGCTGCACACCGCCGAAATAACCCGCCGAATGCGCACCGCCCTGAGGGAAGGAGTGGAAGGGCCGACAAACGGCCATTCATTCGATACATGGTCATTCATCACCCACATCCCTCCCATCCATATGTGCGTACCACGTATGCGACTTTGGGCTTGTCGAGCCGGCTGAGCAGATAGGCCACCTGTGAAGTGTGTGTTGCAGGGTAGGGAGGCGTGAGCAGACGAGAAACAGGATGCATGGGTGGACGGCCGGCATCCCTCCCACTCTCCCTCCCACTATTCCCCTGTGCGTGCAGCAGGTGGTACCTGCACCTCCTTGGTGAGCGGCATGACGAAGTCGCGATACACCTCCACTATCACCTGGGGGTCCACCTTGAAGTACCCCTGTTCGCACGCACAGGGAGGGAGCTGGCGAATGGCATGCCAGCTAGGCAGACTAACCTCATCGGTGTTTGCTGCAGTCTTCCCAACCTCCTGCCCATACGTCGAGGCCTTCAGCCGAACCTGCACACATCACATCCATAACATCATCACATCCAATCTGTGCTCCAGCCTGACTGCCTGCCTGCCTGCGTCCGTGCTATCCATCCATTCTCTCGCTGACTGACCCGTTCGAGCAGTTTGTCTTCGACGGTCTGGTTGGTGAGGAGCTTCATGAGCCCCTTGTCGTCGCGCTGCTCGATGAGCTGCCGGTAGGTGGGGTCCGACTGGAACTTGGCCTCGGCCACAAACTTGCCGTAGTGGATACGCTTGGACAGCGCCTGCAGGGCGCTGATGTCCGACACGGCAGACGAACCATACTGACCCACACAGACACACAGAGGGAGAGAGGATGGATGGATGGATGGATGGATGGATGCACCCCCCCCCCCCCCCCCCCCCCCCCCCCCCT